CCCGGCTTTTTTTTTCCCCATGAAGGCCTAAAAGCCCCCCCCTCCCCTTTTTGGAAAAAACCGTGGACCCCCCCTTTCCATGTCTCCCCCCCCCGGGATCGAGGGGGGGTGTGAACCCCCCATTGGCCCCCCCCGGGGCCCCAATTGCGCCGGCTTTAAAACCCCTGAACCCCCCTTCCCCTTTTGCAAACAGGGGTTTTAAAATGTTTCCCCTCCCCCGTTTTCCCCGTATATGGTTGGGAAAGAGGGCCTTCCCTCGTTTAGGGGGGAAACGATTTCCCTTGAAACGTTCCCCCCCCCCCAAAACCCCCCCTTTTTTCTCCTTCCCCCCCCCCCCCCCCCCCCCCCCCTTTCCCGTCGCGGGATCCCGTGGTTTAGATAGCGCTTTTCGTCCCGGGCTAAAGACTGACGTGATTGTAAAGGCTTAGTTCAAAACAAGACGGTTGATGATCTTCGTCATGGATTGCAATGACAGAGACTACCACACCAGAGAGAGAGCGAGACACAGACAGAGAAGGATAGAGAGAAGAAGGGGGAAAAGAAGAGAGAGCCGAAGCATAGCGAAGTATAGAACAAAAAAATACGCATAAAATGTTCCGCCGTGCATAAATCCTTGTTCCGCCGTGCCACGCGGCGGGAGGAACCAGACAAGAGGACTGCAGGGATTTCAAAAACAAACCAGGCCATAAGCGGTGGGCTCCTCCCCATCCCTGTCTCCCTCTACCCTGGGGGTGTGGTAGATGCCAGCACGGCGCCGGCAAAGGTTACGTTCACAGCCTGGGGTCCGTGGTAGGCTTCACGTCACGATAGCGCCGTCGCGCTGCACCAACCGTAACCCAGAATGCGAATACAGCTCTGTAGAGGCTAGACAACATACGAGATTCGTATCAGCGGATCTCAAAACGCGTGATTTACTAGTTAAACCAAATTTAAACAAGTGGAGACCATGTTCTCTCCTGCCAGGTGCTACAAGTAGGCCGGTCGCGCCCTGCAACTTCGGCGACAATAGGGAGTCGAAAACATCTCGCTCAGGATAAAAGGGGTGGGGCAAGTTCAGCATTCTTTCAAGTTAACGATTCTTTTAAAAACAGGCTACAGAAACAAAGTTTCTTGCGCTTGTTGAGATTTTGAGGTTGTGGTGTGCTTACGGCACCTGCACGGCACCTACAGCTGTACTATACCTGCATGGCGTCGGCGAGGTTCCGTTCGACCTCGTTCAGCACGTCCTTGCTGCCGCCCCTCAGCAGCACGGTGCAAGCCTTGGCGTCCTTGCAGCCCTCCAGGAACGTAAAGTACCTATTTTATTGATAGTGTTGTAATAGTGTAGTAGTGTTGGGTTATATAATATCCATGTCTTGCTCACTGCCATTTCGTGCATCTCGTACATGTTGATATATTAAGCCACGGGAAAGGGAGGAAAACGTTTGTTTTTGCAAGTATTTGTACAAGCTTTTAATCACATAGATCTACGATAGATCTACGATAAATTTACGAAAGATCCACGAGATCTACGACAACAAACAAAACACTCACTCGTCTCCGATCTTGCGGACCTCGAACAGCCCGCAGCCGGTGCCGATGTCCGACTCCTGGATCTCGTCAGGCCTGCTCACCACCGTCGCACCAACGGCACGAGCGATGCGGTTGTTGTCCGTCTTGCGCAGTCTGCGGAACGCCTGCCACGCGCGAACCAACCAGCACCACACAAAATCAATCAATCAATCAATGGATCTTGTCAGCTTGTCGCGTGCTATCGTTGTCAACGCACACAAACCAACCAGCACAATGCCGATCACATGAATCTTGTCGAATGCGTATGATGGCATGCTATCGTTCTCGTCATCAAAACGTGCGTGGAACTGCCAGCTACCGCGGGCGATGCGGCCGTTATCATGTCATGTGATGTCATGTGATGTCATGCCTGTCACGCCATAAACAACCACCAACCGAAAGACAGATATTTCCCTCTTACACAGAATCGAACAAAAAACGAGAAATGAGAAAAAAAACTCCCGTGTTTCAACCTTTGGGTGAGTCCATATACTGGTAGTTGTTGATTAGCGCCCAGCATAGATGGGACGAAACACACACGCTCCTCTAGAAAAGTCATCAATCGTATCGAGTCCTGCTCTCTCTACTCAGGAGCTACATACAATTCGATTATTCTAATATTCGATTCTTCAAAACAACACTACATGCCGAACACAACTCTTAATCTTGTTCGTATTCCTTGTAACAAATACAAATACATGTACCCGCCATAACTTGCCCGCTTTCAGCCGAGATCGCCAAGCACAACAGCCAACTATTATAGTCCGCCGAGCATAGCGGTTATCTAGCACCGCTGTCGCAAGTATGGTGCCCGTGCGGCTATACACAAAACGCCTCTGCAGCTGTCCTGTCCCCGCAAAAGCAAGCGTACCTCGACCATTTGAGAGAGATGTCAAGATTGTGAGTACCAGCCACAAGTTCTGCGAAGGTGAACAACCACCGCTGCAGCAGCAGTCACTCCAAGTATTTCTTAATGCAATACACGCTGTAGGCGAGGTCCTCACGACAACCCTCCCTCAGTGCTGAGCGAGATCACTGCACCCTTCTGGAAGACATCATCATAATCCAGTGTCCGCGTTAAGGCATAGACCACGCCTCCGGCTTTAACTTTTGACTTACCACTACAGCAATATACGGGAGAAAAAAGGTACATAGGAGGACAATGGGTTGGGGAACTCAACTACAGAGCTGGCAAGGCATCTGTCTCACCTTCTCTACAAACTGCAACAGACGGAGTTGAACTAGGTTGGCAAGGCGGGTAGTCCAGCCCTCTCTTTAAACTGTAAGAGAAGGAGTTCGACCAAGTTGGTCAGGCCTCTGTCTCTGTCTCTGTCTCTGTCCCACTCTCTCACCGTAATGTCGGCCTTCATGAGGTAGTGCTGTGCGAGGTCGCTGACCCCCTTTTCGGTGATGACGATGTCGGGGTGGAAGGCCACGATCTGAGCACAGATGTTCTCGATGTACTCCTCCTCCATCCTTAGCAGGGTGTTCCAGTCCTCCTCCTTGGTTACCTCAACATTCGTCTGGGACTGTCACAGGGTCAGGCCAGGCCAGGCAAGGATTGGCAGAACGGGATTAGGGGCTACTGCTGTACCAGGGACAAGCGTAACGCTTCTAGGATCTGGGCTAAGGAGAGGTGCAGGGAAAGGGACTACGTTTAGCTGTCTCGCAAGGGCAGGGGGCGTGGGCGACAGCACAGTGCCCGGGATAAGCTTGTAAGTAGCACTTACAGGATCTGGGCTCCTTAGAGAGAGGCGTGGGTAAGGTATCAAGTTAAGCTGTCTCAACGACACAGTACCGGGAGTAAGCGTAACACGTTTAGGATCTGGGTCAGAGAGAGCCAACGGCAAGGGACAAAAATAATCTGTCTTACGAGGATAGGGGGTCCGGGCTACTATACTGTGCCGGGGAAAAACTTGGCAGCGGTAGGACAAGGGCTACACCATCGGCCATAGGGGAGGGTGTAACGTTGCGGTTGGAGCCACGGTAAAGGACAAGACGAGGGCAGACTGGTCACCGACGAGACATGGAGTCAGCAATGCTAGCAGCCCTCTACTTCGATCACCTCTACGTGAGTCTCTGGGGTCATCGAGTTTTGAAACCATCCTTTATCATCAAGAAAACATCAACTCGAACAACACACACACATACGCATACAGTACCTCTCCCTTCTTGTACTCTAGCGGACAGTCGAGCAGCAGCACGCGCGGGTTCTCGATCCTTCTCCTCATCTTGGAGTGCGTGACGTCCTTGTTGAACATAACTCCGTCCAACACCTGCCGACGTTGAGCACCAAGCCAAGGTCAAAAGAAGGGTTCGAAAAACAGCACCGAAAGAACATGCGAGAATGGAAAGGGAAGGTCAGATACGTGATTCACAATCCCAAAACCCAACCCAATCTCCAACCCGCTGGCCACCGGCATATACTTGTAGGTACGCGTTACCACTGAATTAAGAGCCCTCTTTGTTTTGGTCGAGGTACGTTCCTTTCTTACTTTCTTTCTTTGTGGGGCATCCCGGCATTCAACTAGTGTATAATCTGCGTGCACCCTCGCGTGTGAAAGTCCTCCTGTAGAATGGCCGCCTCGAGTTACCTTGCAGTCCTTCATTCTGTCCCCACAGGCACAGGCACATCTACCTGTATCTACACGTATGGGAGTATGATCATGATCATACTGCAGATCTTTGGCGCTCGAGTTACGCGTGCATCTCACCGTGCAGTCCTCCAATCTCTCCCACGCGCACGTCTGTATGACAGTATAACCCTTTCTTACCCAAACAACAAGATACATCATTGATAGACATGTAAGAAGACATAGATACAGATTGCCGCTCGAGGTACATTCTTATTGGGGGTGTATGTCATGAGTGTAGCATCTTACCGTGCAGTCCTCCATCTCTCCGCCGGGGATCTTCTCCACCCTCGCGTAGCGCTTCACGTCCACCTCCACGCGCCCGTCCACCACCGTTCGGACACGCTTCACCGCGTCGATCGCCATCGACACCAACTTGTCGCCCCACCTGCCAGTACGTCAGTCACATCAAACAACACAAGGATTAATGGATTACAAGGATCACATGCAAGGATCATTTGGATTAACACGCGTTGTTGTTCATGCATCATCACAACAGAGTGCATCCACGGAGTCAGGAGCCATCCGTGTCAACTTCGTCACCCCAATCACATTTCGGCACAATACTTGAGCAGCAGCAGCAGCAGCAGCAACTTCAAATTGAGACCAGGACTTGTGTTCTATTGGCAACAGCAACAACAGCAAACAGCGCACCTGTGCGAAAACTTGGTTCCCACAGCGGCGTCTACCAATTTCTTCAGCTGCGGGCCGTTGTCCACGTCAATGGTCTCTGCCAGGGCATCGCAAGCGTCTAGCGCCGTCTGCAGAGCGCGCGCGTACCCCATCACGATCTACGGAGCCCCCCCCCCAGAGCCAGGCACGAAAAAGCGGACAACACATGCCACAAGAAACACGGTCAGTGAGTGCTTGGCGGGGCCTCTCGACACAAGGAATACATGGAAGTCTGATTTTGCATTTGCACCGTAAACGTGAGGCTGGACGCACAGGTGTGACGTTAGACTATCGTTTTTTCGAGGTCGGTTACTCCACAAGCAAGGTACTGTAAGAGCCTGCCAACGCCGAGAAGGGCGCTCTCGGAAACATCTCATCGCCAGGTCCCACGGAGAGAAAGAGAGAGAGAGCAAGAGAGATGGTCGAGTTCCGCAAACCCTACCCTACCCTACCCTACCCTACCCAAAAACGTGTTCGTGGTTGTGGAGCAATCGACCTCCAAAAACCGATTGCACTGCACCCATGCATGCGATCGCCCGTACCTATACGTTACACAGCGTGCGGCAAAAGCGTAGAGGACCCCAGGAGCAGTGGACGTCTGGTATGATAGTGAGGTACGTTACTGCTGAAGCGCGGCATGCAACACAGATTTTATGCATCCACGCGTGCGTCGAAAAGACGATGCTGTAAGTACTAATACTGCTGTTTTACGATGGCGGGCACAGGAGGTCACGGAACGAGGCACCGCAGCAACGTGACGAAAGGGACAAAAAGGACACAGAAAAGGTACACTTAATCAACTCATGTATCTATATATTATAGTGTACCTCTACTGTAGTGTACCTGAGTCGGGTGCACGCCCCTGGTGAGGATGGGCTCCGCCACCGAAAGCATCTCTCCGGCTGCAAACAACGCCAAGAATGATGAGCAAAATTTGAGGGACAGGCCAGATGGGGAGACACAAACGATGATCGGCATCACAGGTATACATGTAAGAGAAGCGACCATCACACGGCGCAACCGTCGCCAGCACATCTTCGCCGATGCAGATCAACATGTTTTTTTTTGTCAGAAACCAAAACATTAGAGGGCAATACCTTGGCGATAATCGGTAGCATTGTTTACTCAAGTCAGGCGCAGACAGTACTGCAGCTACCTACAGCGACGGCATGAGCAGCAGCAACTACCACACACCAACACCACTTCTCAACTACCACTCACTGAGAATGATGACAGAAGTGGTACCATCTCCGACTTCCTCATCCTGAGCACGGCTGAGCTCGATCATGCTCTTGGCTGCCGGGTGGGCCACGTCAACCTTGAGAGGGGATTGTGCAACGACAGCAGTTTCAGCACCGAGTGATCGCCCAATCAATCCCTTCAACCAATCCACACAGGCAGCAGGTTGGAAGACGGGCTGCCGGCAATTGACATGTGGCAAATTTTCCCAGCAAAAATAGTCCACATTACTGCTACCCCGGTGCCCATCCCTCTCGCACTGCATACGTCCCGGCGATACAAGCATGCTTTGGGGTAGACAGTAAATAAAGGATGGGAGGTGTCTTGATCGTGATCTACGGAAACACCAACGATGTAGCCTACCACGTGGTGGTCCAGGGCATCTGATCGTCGACCGATCTACCGACCTACCCATGTTCGCTTCACGACATGTCGTGCGAGATGTGGTACCGACAGATCAACCACGCGAGTTTGTCGACCTTTCGCTTCTGGAGATGTTGCGTGTTGTACGATGCAAGCATAAAAAGCTCTTGTTTACCATCTCTCTGTCTGCCGCTCACCTCTCGAAGGATGCAGTTGCCGTCGTTGGTGATGACGATACCGCCCATGGGGTCCAGGAGCATCTTCAGCATAGACCTACAAGATACATATGGGTTTGACGAACAGGGAAGATGCTAAAACAACCAGCAGAAGAGCACCTTAGGCTTGAGAGAACAGAACAGGTTGTTCTCATCGTCGTTGAAAAAAAAAGTGCGCCACCAGCGCAGCGACTGCTGTTCTGCAGTTACTTCTGTGAGTGGCTATTCTTGCATGTTTAGGGGGGTCGCAATCGACGGCCCTACCTGGTACATGGGGAGGGGTTGGAAACGACGGCTTTTACGGAGAGGCCTGTTCAAAACGCCTTCTAGATAAATAATTCCGATTTCTCGCTCGAAAGTCCAAGACTACAACAGTAGTAACAGTAACATTCCAACACAGCCACGTCCCGTTGTCGAGGGAGAGGCGGAAGACGGGCAGAGATAGTCATGCTGGGGGGTGGTGTTTAACGTCATAGGCACAACTGGTAGCTGGCGTTTATGAGGTACGCTATTTATCTGGTTGCAGGATGCGTTTACCAGCACGGCAGCTTGCATGGGTATGACTGCTTCACCTGTTACTCCCGTGATAGCCAGAGCATCGTCCGTAAGCTACGCGGGCTGTGTCGATGCTTTTTCGATTGTGACTTGTCAGAGTTTCGAGAAAAAGATCGGTGGGTGTCTAGATGTAAACCATGTACCGCTGCTGTACCGACAAGAAATGGCAAGTGCACGGATGTGCAATACAATACACCTGCATGGCGGTGACCGTATGGCAACGACAACACTTCTCTGTGTGGTTTCTTCACGCAAGATCACCACAGGCCCGGGGGGGGGGGCGAGCTAAGACATGGGCGATACATAGGATCCGTATCCGTTCACGTTGCCTCCAGGACTGACTTCTGTACAAAATCGCTGATGCTATCCCCAACTTTTCAAACGCCGGCGAGAAAGAACACACGACAATTTCAGCCTCCTCCCTTGTCTAAAACGGTAAGCCGAACAACCCACCAACCAATCCGAGCACGCCTCTTCTCCGCCAACCGAAGCCTGTTTCCCCTACTAGCAGGCCCTCGCCGGCAGCGCTTACCTGGGTCCCAAGGTGGTCCGGATGATGTCGGCTACCGCCTTTGCGGCTGTGATGTTTCCAAGCTGCGCCGCTCGCCCGGTTTCTCTCTTGGTGTTGACGGGCAGGACCATCACGGGGGCGCTCATGGTTGAGCCGGCTTCGCTGCGAGGACGAGTCTGCTACCCCGTTAGCTGCTGCGTGTTGCGTGAAATCCGCGAGAGTGGTGGCAGTGAACCTGCTGCTGAGTGTCCTGCTGTGGGCGGCTTCCTCGCTGCTGCTGCTGCGGGGCAGGTTCGAAATCAAATCTGTTTGGCGCTTGCTCTGGCTAGATCCGTCGTTTGCGTGCTTGCACGGCAAGTGTACGAACTGCGATGATTACAACCAGGCTCTTGCAATCTTGAGAGTGAACCGACAGGGGTGGTTCGCTGCTCTTGTCTTCCGTCAGGTTACCGCGGGCAATACAGAGCAATACCACACACACAGCTCCACAGGTACACCCTACCCGCGGCAGCGACGCGGGGGATATTTCTGAATGAGGTATCCCGGAAAAGCGCTATCTGCGTGCCCCCCTCGTGTTCGACTGGTCTCGAGACGCCGCGGCCAGACACAGAGACCCGAGGCTCGGCAGAGGAACCCAGGGCTGTGCAACCATGCAAATCTTCGGGAAGACCCTCACGGTGAGAAGGGAGGAGCTTGAAGACATCGGTGCTGAACTCCTGCGGGGATGTGGTTTGCGCCTAGTGATGCGTGGCCTGGGTTTGAGTTTTCGAGTCCAGGCAAGGCCGCTTCACGGCCAGAGAAGCACGGCCCACCAGCACCTGTTTGTGGCGGGATGGATAGATAGATAGCCGCGGGTCTAGGGCGCTTGGTTCGAGTGCTCTGCTTGATTGTTCTTGTTCATGGAGCTTGACTTGAGTGCTCTAGGGTGGGTTAAGAGAATGCACGGCAGCAGTGTCTCGTCAAGAGGTCAAGGCCGCGTTCCAGCAGCAGCAGGGACGGCCACGCTGTCCCTCAGTGTGTTGCCTGCAGCAGTAAAACCCTTCTGGGTGGTACGGCTCCGATGTAGGACAGCTAGCTCTGCTTTTGAAATGCGTGAGGTGAAAGGGTAGCACATGCCGAACGGAAGCTCAAGCTAAAATGTATTGAAAGAAATGACAGCCCTTTTAGGTTAGGTTGGTGTACAGCAGTCAATACCGGGTGTTTGACGAGCGTGTGTGATTGGTTGGTTCAGTAGACCTCTTGCTGGCTCGGACTCTCTTACAGCAGTCCCGCCGCAGCTCGATTCGATCGCTTCAACAAGAGACCCTGCAATGTATGGCGGCTTGTTGCGTCGGAATTCCCTATGGCAAAGCTGCGTGGGTAGGGTGGGATGCACGACTCCATTTTGTTTCACCTGTTCGTAAATTCGTACTCGGTATAAGTGGAAACTTTGACACGAACAAGAGGCGACATGTTGGCCTTTCCTTGTGGAGTCTAGGTAAAACTTTCATGTGTACAGCACCTTTTAACAGTGGAAGGAGCACCTCGGTTGCTACTGCTGCTGCTGCTGTAGGCGGAGCCGCCGACTGCCGATCACCCCAAAACAAACTCGGAGAGCAGTTGGATCAGGATGCACCGGGAGAAGCTCAAACCGATCTGTCTCTGCTGTACAGCCACCTACGAAGAACAAGCACGCCTCGCTCTGTACAGCACCGCCGTAGTACAGCAGCACCTCACTCACTTTGCCCGGCACCCCTTCCCCGACATGGCCTGCAATGCTGCTGTACCTCTCGCTGCATCTGTGCGCGTCTTGATGCCATATTTTCCCCATGCACCTTCAGGGGAGGACCATCACTTTGGATGTAGCGCCGTCCGACACGATCGACGGTGTCAAGCAGACCATCCAGGACTTGGAAGGTGAATCACTTGACTCGCCTTGTGATGGGGGTGGCGTGACGTGCTTGGCGTGGCTCTCACCCTAGATAGGGAAGCCCAGGCGTGGCGTTTTCTCATGGGCATGGGTGTGTACGATGGAGAAGGGAATTGTGGTGGAGCTATGCCATGCGTGAGCCAAACCTTACTTGCAAGGAATAACAGATTACAAAAAGCAACGCGGTGCCTCAGCACTACAGGGTGTAGAGCTGGCCAAGTTGTCTCACAGCGAATACATACAACCTGCATCTGCTGAGCTACGTTTGTCGACGTTGGTTGCATAGATCTTGCCGCGTGGTATGGATAACCGCGTTCGTATTGCGCCGTTCCGTCTCGACACTCCATAATGGCCCGATTGTTGATGGGTCGGCTGACTGATATGGAACGATCCGTTTGCTGGATGGCCCATTCCGTCATTCCGTGTGACGGGTCACAGGGATCCCTGCCAGCCAGCAGCGCTTGGTGTTCGCCGCCAAGCAGCTGGAGGATGGTCGCACTCTCTCCGACTACAACGTGGAGCAGGCAAGGGAGCTCGCTAGCTCGTTTAGCTTATTTAGTCGTTCGTTCATGCCATGGTTCTTGGTGTGTGGTAAGCGTAAGCGTTGCTGCGTTCATCGCCAAGTACTTGGTCGTTGGACACGTATCATCTGCTGATGTCACAATCAGTAGTATGGTGCATTGGAAGAGCTGGGTCTCATGGGTACCTAAATAGTTTTGTTTTTTTGTCGCTGTGCTTTTGGTGCGTGTAAAGTCTTTCGCCAAGAGGTGGGATGGCACGAGTCATGAGTGTGCCTAGGGCAATCTCAGACAGCCGACAACAGACGATCAACCAGTCGCGCTTGCGGTGTTAACCGCTTTACTTCGAGTTTGATAGGCAATACGCATCGGAACCGTGTTTGCCTGCTTCAATGATTGCAGCACGTTGAGCATCGTCCTCATTGCTGGTCTTGACCTTGGATTTGGCCTTGGCGGGAGCTAGCTCCCTCTTGCTGCGTTCCCTAACCGCGCGGCCATCCCGCGTTTTGTGTTTTGTGCAGAAGCGTTGTGGTCCGTCTCTGAGGTTGCCTCATTCATACCCCCGACTCCGTAATCAACGAGGCGTTATTAGCAAAATGGCCGCTCTTCGGTTTAATTTGCAGGGTTGTTCACGGAGCGATTTTTTCCACGACCGGGCGGAGCGGAGCGGTTTGAACCGCTCCGCTCCGTGATTACTACAAGAAACAACCGCTTCCCCCGTAAATATTTCGTAAAGAGAAAAACGGTGAACAGCAGCCCCCCCCCCCCCCACCGTGTGCTTCGCTGCTGGTAATCAATCCCGCTCCATCCCTTGTCTCTCTTGCCTCTATGTACTCTGTACCCTGACCTCACTGGTGATTCTTTGGAATCACGGTGTGTGTGTGATGTTTATGTGTTGACGTTGTTGTGTGATGCCCTCGCTCGATTTCACGGCACCCCTGTTGTCTTGACAGGAGTCGACCCTCCAGGTGCTCCTCAGCCTTCGCGGTGGGGTGTACGACCCTTCGCTCGCCGCTCTCGCCAAGACCTTCAACACCGAGAAGATGGTGTGCCGCAAGTGAGTTTAGTCATGCCGCATCACTGTCTAACATGTTCTGTCGAAACAATCTACAGTACATACGTTGTCTTCTTCTTTTATCTGTATCGATCGGTATGTATCATTTTTTGCAGTTTGACATGTTGAGCGTTGGCGCCTTTTCGTTTGGACTGATGCTCTGTTTGGATCCGGTGGCCATCCAGTGCATGCGCTCTGGCCGCGACCACTGCTGCTGCTGTTGTACCGCGTTCGTTCATGTGCCACGTGCGAAATTGACGTGTTGTCTCGGCCAATATCGGCTGGTCATTTGAGCTAGTTGGTCAAGGGCTTTGGTAGTTGAACGCGCCCGCCCGTGAGGAGTGAGGGTTCGAAAATGACAACGACAGTTGGTGTTACAATCACTGTCAACGAATAGCCCAACGACATCGAAAACCCGACCTCATATCATGTACCCGTCTGATCCCGCAGCACCGAATGGCCATTTCCCGCTCTTCGCGTGCCGCACGAATTAATCTCAGGTGCTACGCCCGGCTCCCGCCCCGCGCCAAGAACTGTCGCAAGAAGAAGTGCGGTCACACGAACCAGCTCCGCCCCAAGAAGAAGCTGAAATAAGCTTGTTCTATCATGGCTGTCTTGTCATGCCACATCACATTGCCTTGGTTCTCTCTCTCTCTCTCTCTCTGTCTGCCGCCGTCCGTTCGAGGCTTGTTTTCGATGTCTCCGGCCGATGCTCGGCGTGCTCTCGCACTCGCGTGTGTGCGCGGAAGCCGCCGCCTCGATTTCGCCGTTCAGGGGGTTAACGTAGCTCGACTGCTGTTGCCGTGTGGCGTTTGCATCATGTCACCTTTGCCCGTGGTGTGATCGTTTGGAGGGTTTTGGTTGGTAGATGAAGGGTGTGTGGTGCGTTGGCCCGTCGGGGTGGCGCCGCCGTATGTCGCGGGGCGGACAGGCGGGGGGGGGTGATGTTCTTCCTGCCTGGGGCGTGTGTTTTAATTCACCCGCTGAGTTAATTCAAAGAGAGGGTCTCTGCCTTTTGGTTGGTGCTTGGTATTTTCTGAGCGAGAATGGTCCCTCATACGGGAAGTTGGTTCTCGCGAAGAGCATAAGTATGCCTGCGATCGTGCCGCTACAGTCAAGTGGTGTTCGAGATTGCCACGGCCATCCGTCTCTGCTCGCTCGTGTGACGCTCATCACCCGTCGTGGTTGCTTTCTACCGATCACATGTCTGTTTGTGGGGCCACTACTGCGGCCTCTTGCATTGATTTTCCCTCAGCAGCCCAACACACGCCGCCGCAACTCAAAGCCCAGCGTCTGCGACCCATCTTGCAATGCCAAGATGCCTTTGTGAGGGTCCATCTGTCGCACACTACCCAGCACTACATTCAAGTGATTTCGTGCAAAAAAAGCTTCAGTCAACGCCGGCAAGACGGACCAATCGCCACGACAAAGTCGGATTCACACCACACACCGCTGCGGGACACAGACAGGGCTCCGATGTATTCCGACCGCTCACCTATTGCGGACAATTTTGTGGAGGGGGCTCCGTGGGCAAACCCACACGTGAAGCAAGAAAGCAAGCCCCAACCAACGTGAAGCACTCGAGCGGACAGATGCTGCGTTTGGGGCGCGAGAAGCTGTTTGCACGATTGGATCAAACACAGGTGTTGGCGCCACGAGTCGAAGAAATGTTGGAACGTCGCTGGTGTTCTTATACCTTCAAAGCGTAGTAGTTCTAAGAAGACAGGCCTGTTTTGACCTGCGTTGACCGGAGCTGAAAGTCCCGCAGGGATAAAGAACCTCCACGCGACGCATTTTGACTACGAAGAAAGAACGGCAAGCTTCTGGTGACGACACCACCAACGCGTCATCACCGCCCAGCCAACAAGAACTAGCTTTTCGTAGCTTACGTTTTTGTTCAGCCGGTTCAGCGATCCAGACAGACCAATCAGCTCTTTTCTCTCGCTCGACGTGCGTCTCATCTCCTGTTGCTCTGGGACTTGGAGGTTTTAGTTTACCCTAACCCAAACCTACCCTCTTCACTTCTACTATAATATTTACTCCTTCCCACCCAGCTACAGTTGGCGCCTGCACCTAAGACCTTGGCAATTTAGTCAAGAAATTGATACTAGTATCAGCAGTACGTAGCCCCGAAAAAATCAAAACCTACGCCCACACTAAAACCTATACAAGGCAATTCGTAGCATAACCTTAGGAACGAAGAACCTCCGTCTCGTCCAAAACTAGAGGTTCCTGAGTGCGGGCGCTTACTGTTACGCTTACGCTTTCTACCGGTAGGACTTGCCGTCGGCGGTCGCTGATTGATGACAAGGAGAAAAGGACACACGTGACACCCAAAAAACACAAAAAAAAAAAAAAAGTTTCCCCACACTTGTTGCACGCCTCCTGCCACCACACGACCGACGCTTCCACACTTCAGGGGACGTGCATATCGCCACCGACAAAATTTCCTGAGAAGAGGGAATGAGCAAGCTGCTCAGCTAAGCCGAGCACTTGCTTCGAGGGGGAGTGGACGACACTGCCTACTCCCCCCGCGCGCCTTAGGCCGCAGACATAGTACCACATTCACTCGCAATTTTGAAATTGCACCATGCCATCATATTGCCCCCTTTGCAGTTACGAAGAAAAAGCGAAAGAGAGAAAATCAAGGATCGACTGCAATGCGGCAAGTAATCTAAATTTAGCATCTCGCCTACCGACGAGGTCGACCGCTCAGACTGAGGAGTGCTATCGCTTCGTCATGACCAAAGCAGTGCGCAACAACGTTCACACCATACATTTCCCCCCATCCCTAGAAGAAGTGGTGAGATATCGTTCAAGGCGCGCACATGGCCCCTTCTGCGAGAACAACAGCCTAGCCGAGCACGACCAAGTTCAGCAAGGCGGTTGCTGGACGTTTTCGAGTCGGGGGCATTCCTATGCACCGGCCTCGCGCCCAGCAGGTTTGTAGCAATCATCAGCGCCGTTGCGTGTACGGCGTCTGCGCGCCGCCGTAGGACGGGTACCCGTACCCCATCCCCCCCGCCGTCCCAGCCGCGGCGCCGCCGTACGTCCCGGCCGCGGGGTAGTTGCCCGTTGGAGGCGTGTACACGGGAGGGGGGCCGCCCATATATGCCGTTGATCCCCCACGCGCAGCAGGTTGCTGCTGCTGCTGGTGCTGTTGCGGGGGGAGGTTGGGGTAGTATCCGCCGCTGGCTCTGCTCGCCGCCTGCTGGTGCTGCTGCTGCGCGTTGAAATTCGCTCTCTGCGCGTTTAGTGCGTGCTGAGCCCGCTCGACCTGTCACAACACACACAAAAAATAGAGTCAAACCAGACAGTCAGGGTTGCGTCAAAACTCTTCTCGATGGCGTTTCGCTGTACAGCCCAACACACAACCGAGATGTACTTCGATGGAATGGAAAATAACCGCAAAGATCTAAGAGGGCAAAATATGGAATGTAGGCAGGCGCGCAACAGGTCAGTGAGGAGGAGGAAGAACGTCTGCCGAAAGAGAGACGCATGCACACATGTCATGTAAAAAAATATTGATGAAAAAAAGGAGGGATTTCAGCAAAAGATTGGATCACTAGATAAAAGGGTAGATTCGATAACGATCAACGAAATGGGGTGAGATTGATGAACGAACATGGTAAGCATCTTCCTGAGACAGCGATGTTCATGCACCAACAGATTACTAATATATCCAGTTGTGAAATGATCGTTGGGTGAAGGTCGTCAAGCATGAGCAGAGTCCAACGACTCAATCCCCCGTATCAAGGCTCTCGAAAAAAAAGAACACAAAGGAATGACCTTCTTCATGGTCGCTCGAGCCACGAACTGCTTTCGTGCCAGCCTTCTGATCTCCCTCAAGAACACGTCGACCGTGATCACAGAGTCGGTTACACCCAGATCCAGGTAGTAAAGAGCGTCCTCCAACGCTGCATTCTCCGCGACAAGTCGGAGCATCCTAGAAAACAACACAATCGGCAGCAATGGCAAAACACGGAGGATGACGAACGGTGGCAGAAACGTGCACATCAACACATGAACCACAAAGACTTGAGCACATCCCTTTCGACTGCAGTAGTTATATCTCGAACGGGTAGTCTTTCTGTGGTTTTACATAAATTTTCTTCAAAAAAAAAGAAAAAAAGACGACGATGACCACATCTCCGTCAAAAGCCCGAAAGCTCTCCCGAATGCCCACATCAGTCATATTTGAAACGTGCGTGTAACATTATTCTAGACGGTTACTATCTGGCTGCTGGTCCGAACTTGTTTCCCTGGGATCGGTCGACAGTAAACACGAGCGACACCTGCGTTCGCATCAAGGAACCCTCCCCCCTGTTCTATGTTCAGTTAGGTCCTAGACAAGGAAAATGGATGGACATGCAGGCAACTACAACTACAATAGGTAGAACATACTTGCTTGTGGTCTTTGGATGCCCAGGGGACGGGAGACGTCAATTCACTTTCTGGTGAGAAAACGCGTGTGTTGACCCTTTTGGGCGTGAGGGCCAGCCTCAACCTCGCTCACTGCCCTGCCCAGGTGCGGCGATTCGATTCTCAATTCATTGGAAGGCGCTCCTCCGGAGTGGGCTCACCAAACCAAACCATAGTAATATAGTAGTATCATCAAGGCGTGATGCAAGATTAAAGTAAAGCAGGAATTAACTGCTAGCTGCCATCAGTGACGTTTCGCAAGCTCGAACATCTCACTCACACAGCTGACGTGTTTTTCTCTCCAAGAGCCCGGCGAACCTCATCGAAAAAAAAGGAAAATTCACAAATCTGTATACAGTCTTATGCGTCGTTCGAGAGGGGGGGCAACAATCACAAGCCCAAGAACTCCGCTGTCGCTCTATGTACGGTAGCCCTCCGGGAGGTGGAGGTGGAGGACCATATCACATCATATCAATCGTGTGATCGCAATATCATATGTAGAGGGCATCGAGTCACTGGTTGGTCGAAACAGACAACGGCGTGTCTTCGGTACTGTTTGTAATAATGTATGCATACAATGTAGCTCGCCACGCAGCCTCAAATCCTCTTGCGACGAGACAGTCAAGAGACCTTGTGGGGAACGTTCAAGTCGTTCTTGTCTAGGTGGTTTGTTTCGGCAAGGAGATCGATCGATCAAAAACACAAGACTAGGCCTTCCCCGGCGGGCAGGGGGCAGGGGACAGGGGACGTTTACTCACTGGTCTGACAAGCTATCCTAGGAGGGGGCAGGGGACAGGGGACAGGCGACTTGTACTTACTGGTCTGACAAGCTATCTTTTGGCTCGATGAGTTCGTCCACCGCGGGCTCGCCTTCCTTTTTTCGGTCCTGCAGGTACGTGTCTAGCTCCGCCTCACGCTCCTTCGATACCTGATTCAATTAATTAATTCCATCCACACGAGACGTCCACCATCGAACATGTGCACACACGGGTAATCGGACAAGAGGATTATCGAAAGCCGAGGGGAACAAAACATAAAGGGCATCGAAACACTCCACACCAATGGTACGTCAGTAGAAACGCAGCAGAATTGTAAGCATACTGGTGCATACACATCGGTTCTATGTAGACGTGGATGCAGGCAAGGGCAACAGTCACAACCAAGGCAAGGGGAACAGTCACAACCAACTGCCGTCCTTCGGTCGAGACCCAGGAACGGAAAATATATATATATGTGTATACCATGAAGCCCATCACAATGAGTACTCGTGCCGAAGACACTAGACACACGTATACAAAAACTCGCCACCCTCACACCTAAAAAAAGAAGGTGCAATTGAGCCCTGAGTGACAGTGAAACCTGTGTCCGACTAGACTAGATTCAAAAACAAAACAGAGGTACGAAAAATGTTGTGACCGCGCAAGGCGTTCGCGTCGGCTGCACCGGTACAGATGACAGATGACAGATGACAGATGACAGGGTGTGTATCGCGTGTATCGGGAACCCTTTTTTCCTGTTGTGAAGACAGCAACAACGACAACGACAGGAAACAAAGCCTACGAAGCGGCCTGCAGAACGGCACATGCCCACTGTAGCAGTTCGTGGTGAATACTTGGAGTTATTCAATCTAGTCCACAGAAGAAATAACAGTCGTGAGATCCTCGGGTTAGCGAATCTGTCACCCATATCCCCAGTCCATATCCTTGCCTGAAGCAGCCGCTCCAGTTCCTTCTTGCGGCGAGACAGCTCCTCCACATCCCTTTCTACCTGGCACGTTACAAAAAAAACGTAACAGGAATGAAAACAAAACGCGATTAAAGAAAAAGAAAAAAACCAACACCACCAAACGGGACGAAACAAACATCAGCAAGAGATGCAATCAAAACGCGGGCGCCAGCGTGGAAACATCCTCGAGAGCTGAGCGTGCGTAGAACGAGTTACGAGCAAGCCATGGGTCACGAAAGGTTAACAACAACGAGGTTTCGTAAGTTCCGTGTGCCATGTTAATTGTTTAGTTGTTCAAGTTCACAAGTGTTGTGGTTCGAAGGCGAGACGAGAAACACACGTACGTCACTCGATAGCACCGCCACACCCACCTCTTCCTTGCTCTCTTCCAGCTGACCCTGGGTTTCGAACGCCGAGTCCATATCCGTTCTCAGCACCGCATACATCGCCTGTAGCTCGCTCTACGCAAATGCACCACGCAGCACACGGAGGTTGGGGAGATAGGGTGAGAATGAGATGACCCTACTCGAGACTGACAACGGCGAGCGATCATATTTATCACTCTGTCCTCCCCAACACAAATAATGTTATCAATAGAGAAAAATATACTTACGCGTAAATAAGCATACACAAGTAAATTGAAACCAAAACACTCACATCCAAGTGACGGGGACATACACAGAACTGACGGGCGATTGCGTTCCACACACCAAACAACCTAGTGCAAGTCTTTTAATTCTCAATAAAACACACTGCTTGCTAACCCTGCCTCTAAAATGGAAACCCCTTTCGTTTTCTGTCTGTGGTCGTTTCAAATCAACTGACACACGTATGCTCTCCGTTTCTCGAGTCAATCGCCCCAACCTAGGCACGCCATGCTTTTGTACCGCCTGGTTGAAGACTGACTGTCGACGGAGAGAGCGACTATCATACATACTCACAATTCTTTTGCCCTCCGTCTCCCTAATCCATCAACATCTCTAACCCCTGACTACGCCGTCTTACGGCCTACAGTTTCGAGTGGTCCCGCTACAATGCCGGTAGGGGCCAGCCCGTTCGAACATGCCGGTAAGTGCTCGCCTCTTCGAACCGGCATTAGAGAGAGCGGGCAACCGACGTTGTCCAGAGCATGAAACAAGGTGAATACGTGCCACGCCATTTCCCCAAGCCCAACCGGTACCACTAGCCACTTACCTGCAGCTTGGCAGTGAGGTCCTTCTCCGTCTTCTTGCGGACCTGTTCTGGGCTTACTATCACCGGGGGAGGTATCATCGGGGGGGTAGGATCCGGGATTGGAGGGTTCTGCTGGGAAGATCCCGCGAAGAGCTGAGAGCAAGACACGAGAAAAGCGTTCGTTCCAACGGCGGAGGAACAGGGAAGGAGTGAGTAGAGGAGAAGAGAGGAGAGTGGAAGAAACTCAGGCCGGGCTAAGCAGGAGAGCGCATCTCACAAACGAGAAGACCATCTGTACAAGTAGCATAGCATGCATGCATGTCTTTGCATGCGGTGTGGTGCTCTCGGCACGGCATCATCCTCCCCCTATCATACATGTACTTGTACACAAACACGCGAGAATCTCTTTGCCCTCGCCGTTACATTCTCCGTCCAAGTGCGCAACCACCGCCCGCTCCATGTCTTCGTACAATAAGGCGAGGTCGGTGTGATGCCGGTTGCGGAGCATTGCATACAACTTGCAACCATATCGTTGAGACCGAAACACAAAGCGGGTGCTGTTACGCCCGTCGATATCCAGGCCACTCAAGAAGAAGGGGTACCAGGGATGACGTTGCTCCTGGAAGGAAAGGCAAGACAATCCAGTGCGATCTATCTTCTGCCCAAGCCTAGCTAAATTAACGGCCCCTGATTTCTTCTGCTCTTTCTCATGGCGTGTCGTTCCGTGACGACCGTGTACGCGTACATGTAGATGGACAGCGAGCGCCGGTATTATTTCTTAATAGCGCTGGCGTTACCCTTATAATATCCAACCATACAGCACCATGACTTCAGATTTTGCAATGTACATGTAGCAGGTTCTACCAACCACTCTGCCAACAGGTAAAACATATCATTAATGCCAACATTGATACCTTCCAAAATAAGTTGGCAGGCAGCTGATAAGTGCATCCTCCGAGTTTCCAATATATATATGAGTCACAACGTTCGAACCAACAATACTGACAGACTGGCAGAGCATGGGCCGACGAAAGACCACGCAGTAAACACAAAAACAGCACGAGGGTGGGGCTTAGGGATACGAATACGGTTTACAATACAGTAGGGTGTTCAATAGTGTCGCCCTTGCGATGTCTTGGACAGGGGCCCCCATGGCAACAGCCTCAGCAGCCAAGCCGTAAAAAGGAAAAACAACAACAGGACCACCGCGAACAGCGGCAAAAATAAACCCAACCCAAACACGAGACAGACAGAGCAAGCCCCAACAATAACACCGCAACAACATACAGTAACGGTCCCTGTTTAGGGCCGGTATTTTCGGCGGGCACACGTCGAATTCCCCAAGTCATTCCCAGTACTGCGAATAGTGCCGGTCCGGTGTTGTGTCGGTGAATGATCAAACACATACAAGCACTAAACAGGGACCTCTACTGAATGCATGTATGGTATGCATACTACATACATACCGGAGGTTCCGCCCCAAAGACGCCCGACATGTTGGCGATGAGCTCCACGAGGTTGTGGGTCCTGGCGGCCCACTCGTGTAGGTACGGCAGGTACACGAGGCCGCTTTGGTCTACGTGCCGGTGCCCCACCTTCAGTTTCATCCCTGAAGGGGACAAGGGGCCACGCAGAATCGCGCGCGTGTTCTTTTAGTGCAACGACGCGAAGAGCACTTGTAGTTGGTGAGGGGTTGGTTTGAGGCACACGTGGAAGGAAACCACGAACGCAGCAGGGGGGACTGGCAGAGGCAATTGTCACATTGCCCTCTTCTATCGGAACCACGATCAAGCCTTGATTTGAAGACAAAAAGAGGTACATGCCCGCAAAAGATTGAAAATGGAGCGACCGGCGGCACGATTGTTGCTTGTATCACTCCCGTTTTGATGCCAAAACAAGCGAGAGGTCTAAGGCAAAGCGGGGATAGATGGGATAATAAGACAGCCAGTCCAAAGGATGGAATGACACATAGCCCAGGGTGGTAGGATAACATAGTACTGACGCTGTTGAGATCATCGCTCAAACGAGTACCGTGGAGGCTAGCTGCATCATCACTACAGATGACCATGAACGACATGTATGACACGTACCTTATTTGGTCGGGTTTTGCCACCAAGTGCGTTCCCTCCATGTCAGTATCGTAGACTATATATTGAAAGTAGTTGTGAGAGACTACGTACAGGGCTTAAGGCCAGCAACGCCTTTGAATTGAAACATGCACAACAAGACAACAGCAGCAGCAACGACAACGTCAACCGCTACCACGACCACACAACCAATGTCCTCGCCACAACGATTCGACAACAGACGCAAGCACAACCCGGCAGCTGTACAAGAGAGCAGAATTTCTCCATGGCAAGGCACGGTAGTTAGGTCTTACCAGCAGTCGGTCTGATGTAACACACGGGGGGCGACGTGGGGTAGTTCTCCGAGATGTAGATCTAAAGAAAAAAGGGAGAACGAATGGAGACACGGGGAAATTCAAGCCGGAAACTCAGAAAAAAGCGTAAGAAGAGGTGTTAGTTTGCCGAGAGTTGTTCCACAAAAACAAAGAGAAAAAATAGAAGAACAAGCAGGAAAAAAATACTAGGAACGAAGATGTTACCGGGGATATGTACCGCACAAAGAGGAATACCACAAATGACATGGCACATCGTACGATACCATTCCATACAATTCCAACCATCTAATATCACGAACGGCACGCTAGAACGCGGACGGACGATTTCCGCGGTCACAGGCTAAATTAAATTATTGCTGAATTACGTACCAAAAATGCAACAACAAAAAACGCACCTCCGTCTCAACCTCACGGGTAGCAAGCAACGCCTTTCCATAGCAAGCATGAAACGCTTTCAACAACTCCAACAGGAGCAAACACGAGAGTTCGATGCATGTGTTGGCCAAACCCCAACGCCCCGAGCCCTACAGTACGCTTGCACCCTTCCAAATGCCACCACCACAAAACTTAACACGACCATTCTTCTCTCTCCGATTGTTGACTTGTTTTGAATGCCTTCCGAGTACTTGAATTGTTCGAGTGACTGTTTGACTGTGACTGATCCACTCACCTCCACGGGAGTGAAGTAAGTCACCGCACGGTAGACGATAGGAAACGTTCCCTCCAGCATCAGCAGCTCGCACTCCTGACCCGTGTTCAACGCTGCGTCCGTCCGTGTTGTTCACAGACAGTGGTTGCGATCAGCAAGAAAAAGGAGACAGGACAGCGCAGGACACTTATTACAGTTCGTGTGAGCATTGTCAGCTACAAAACGAACAGACAGGGGTTGCAATCGGCAAGCAACGGAGACAGCACACGTGCACAGGACACTTACTACTACAGTTCGTGTGTAGGAGCATTTATGGCTACATACCCGATATAAAGTCGCACGCACACACGAACGAACAAAAGGGTGTGCAGAACCAACACGACAGCAACAGGGTGCGCCACGACAGGTACAGCACAACCTTAGCTCTACCGGCGCGAAACATCTCTCTCGCTACCGGTAACCTATACTAACGGCTCGGCGTCCATGACTCCCATAAAACGGGACCCCGACAAACTGGTAAAGTTGGCTTGTGTCCGCCTCAGCACGCCACGGTATTGAGTGTAGGATGCTCAACTGAGCACTGAGCACAATTTCTTACTGTCAAGTTCCTAAGCTTCGATATTATTGAGCCTGACGTTCATAACTCTTGCGTTTTGCATCGTGTCATGTTCTGTTCTGTTACCCTTAAATGTACGGGAGATGGTACGCGTTTCCCCGTCCGTGAATGAACTCAACACGAGTGCTGAGAACACATCAACAGCGGTACCCTACTGTTATATAACAGCGGAGGGTGCTTACTACGCACAAGGCAAACTAAAGGCAGATGTGAGAAAAGCATATACCACTCTGCTTGAAAAAGTACCGACGATCCGGATTCAAATTCCAACGGTTACATATACCATATTTCCAGGGTGGTTGGTGTTGTATACTTCATGCACATACATACGCGAGCACAAAAATAAGACTTGAGGGCAACATATTTTTCCTTCTTCCGATCAACGACCAGAAAACTCACCTGCACAATACCGGACCGGTACTATTCAACATTTTGAGCATGCTTGGAAATTCATGTGTGCCCCCCGAAACACCGGCACAATACCGGGCTCCGGTACTGTTCAACCGGCACTAAACAGGGACCTCTAATGTGATACGATTGTTTCCATATGATGTCGGGCATGGCTTTGCTTTGGCATTGGTCGCTAGACCCGACTTGACTTGGTGACCAGGATACGTACACATAGGGTGCACTCCTACATACCGTGGTAGGATTCATACGTAAGATAACACACCCCCTGGACCGTTTTTCAAGCTCGAGTATTCTGCAGCAAAGGCAGCGAACAGTGCCGAAAATTGGACACGTCTCGTCGAGAGCTTTCCGAAAACGTATCATTTGGTTTCGGCAACCTGTACAACCTGTACGTTGTGGAGTAATTGAGCTTTCAAAATCGTTCCAGGGGGTGTGGTATCTTCCATAATGCAACCTAGGGGATCCGTCCCGCCTGCCCGCCATTCCGTATCGCACTCACTCAATCTCCCGCGCTTTGGTACCAGGCTCTGGTGATGTCTCCAAACGTTCAGCACGTCTGTTCGAATGCGATTAGGATCCTGCTCCAAAAACGAACATACATGCATACACAACAACGGCGCAAGAGAAGGGGGACATTCGACAGCGGCGTCAGGGATGGAGGCATCCGGCAAAAACGGAAATCGGGGTAAGGGATGCAGGAATCCAAAGGAGCAGGTTGCGGATGTCACAACGGGCCGAGGTGTGCCGGATATCTTGCTGCAGGACAGCTACGGCGGCAGGTCGGCATGTTAAGAATACCGCACGGGGGGTGGTATGCCGCGAGTAGGTCCACTCGACAACGTCTTGAGTTGCGACGCCTCGTCTGTCTACGTCCATGAAAACTCCTCGGCGTGCTTGTAAGCTACGGCTCCTACGCTATACAGCAGTGCACGTGTTCTGACTGTTTCTGGCGCCCCTCCTGCGTAAAAAAAAAAAAAAAATGTCAGGCCGTGGGTCCAGGCCATACACACAGCCAAATTCTTAGAAGTGCTCCATATCGTGATTACTCCGTACGTACGAATGCCGTTGACTGAGGAGGAGGAGTAGGGTGTATTCGTGCCCCCCCCCCTCCCTCCATATACTAGATAGCGTTCAAGGAGGCAACGGATGCAGGGACAAAGCTGAAGGTCGTTTTTTTGGGCTGGGGACATTGACCTTCGAGAACGTAGGCGAAGAATTAAGACGGTATTCCAAGACGACGACAAAATTAAGTGTGAATGCGGCGCCGAGTGCCAAGACCGGGTTCGTGTACAAAATTTCAAATTTAGTTCCAGAACGTCCGTTTTACGAAAAGGACAGCGAATTGTGCATGACTGAGCTGGGAAGAATAGAAGGAAGGTACTGCTGTATACACACCGAGAAATGTTTGAGGCACGGAATAGAGGGTAGGTATACTGGGGCACAGGAAGTGGGTTGAAAGGGCGGGAAGTGATCTTGTATCGGTATCTAGGATAGATAAGCTACAGGGAACACATTTTTGAGCCACCTTTGGCATCATAGGAAGGAACAATTGGCCATTGGCAATCGGTCCTGTAGGAACACTTCTCCGTCCTCTCGAGGAAGCGCGGTCAACCGTCTAACAGCTAAGGCAGGCAAAACATCAGTACGCGCCCCCCCCGTCCCGCCACTATCCTCGAGTCCTCGAGAAGGGGTGAGTCTGAACTTGACTCTCACGCATGCTCTGTCTACCTGGTGCAGAGCATACTGCTGTAGCTGGCCTACATGCTTCTACGGATGTGAGAGACACTGCAGCAGTCCCAGAGTTAAAAACGAACACAAAAAACGGCGGGCGACGCCGGGGTGTGTTGAACGCTCGTACATACACGCACGAAAGAAGTTTCCACACTTTCGCCTATATGCCTGTGTGATGTCTTGTCCTGCCATTTGCTGTTGTGTTTTTTGTTTAAAAAAAACAAAACCGTTGCGCCCTATCCTCGGTACCCAACGTCGGGGGCATCAGGAGTAATAACTGTTATCCAAAGAAGGGTAAATCAAAACAAGCACCATCTGTATCACAGACGACAGCCCTCGACACAGCAGTCGTATATTCGCCGGTGACATGTCGGACAAAGGAGACCGTCTACGCTGTACAACATGTACGCGTCAACTAGAGCAAACACAGGTGTGCGTGGCTTCAAATTTCACGTTCTTTTCAGCTATCCATCATTATATTAATATTGCGGTCAACCGACCCCAAGCAAACCCACCTGGTACCGAGGGAACTGGGCAATCAGCTGATTCAGGTTCACGGCATTTCGCGGGGCTGGCATAGCTTCACGACGCAAACCAACACCACCGCACAGCACTCCGCCAAGCCTTGGTGTCACCGGTCTGCAGATAGAACGTGGGCAAGAGGGAGGTGCAGCAGTTTGCCCGGAGAAGCAGAAGGCAAAAACTTTGACCTCCACACAACGTCCTCCGCGCACCACGCCTTATCCGAGGAAACCCCACCAGTTGCTGCGGGCTTCGCGTCCAAAAGCTCTGGCACAGCAGCTCCCGAAACAAGCTCCGGTTGAAGCCAGGTTCCGCTGAGATTGGGAACGAGAGATCCGTAGATTGATGCCTCGTTGCCCAAGAGGAACGAACAGCGGACAGACCTCTCCAAGCCCACAGGTCCCGATCACGCCGACTGAATCACCCCTTCCTGCTGAGTGTTGCTTGTTTAACACGTCTTTCACCAAGTACCGAGCTCACGCGCGCTTTGGAAACACACACGGGTATGAGAGCGATGTCACGTGGAGAGTTCTTGAGGTCTTTCGTCGAAAAGGGGCACCGCAATTGAGAAAACACGAAACTCGGGGTATCACGGGGGTCGCATTATCATATGTCCCGTCATGGAATGGAGCCGTGTACGGTTCCCCCCTTTCAAATGAATGCGCTTGGATGTGTCAGGTGTATGCATACTGTAGGCAGGCAGCACGCGCATGGCTTCCCACCTGGGGCGCAAAAAAAAACAGATGCCAAGTATGTCATTCCACGGTCTCAATAGAGGTAGAGGAATAATTCTTGCGTCGCTCGATGTCCTGTGGCAACAAGAGAGCATCCATGTGAAGAGGACGAAATAATAAATGTTTCTTGTTTTCACCAAGAATGGGGATACTGCCACTGCTGTCGCTATGCTGCTCGGGAAACTAACCGTGCAACAGGTAGCTTCCGCTTCCGCTAATTGAGTCGTCGTTAATCTATCTAGACTCTTTTCTATAGATAGAGATGGATTCATTGTCTTGTGTCATGACTACTGTACGAAAATAAGAAAACCAAAGGGACCGAGCGTGGCTGACGCGAGCGTGCGGTTGCTTGTAGTGTCCTTTTTTTTGGTGGAGAAAATTTTATGTGCCGGGGCAAAGTTACATTCACGGGTTGATGGCGGTAAGTACCCCCTTCTTTTTTTGCTCCAACGTTCGTTCGTTGTGAAGCGTGCCAGGTACATGACCTTGAGATTGACACAAGAAGAGGACCGACTACTGCCCCCCCCCGGGGAACGTGCATCTCCTCACTACCAGACATAGCTCTTTCATCGACGTCATTCCAACCCTAACGTTGCCGGGGCACAGCTTTTAACAGCTGCCGCACGTTCGCTCTCGGAGGGAGTACTGCTGTAGAGATTTCACACCTTGGCACTTTCTTCCTGATAACCATGTACTCGCCAGCTACCCCTACGCTACCCCAACATGTTCGGTCTGTACTTCCAAGTTTGTTTGTACCCAACAAGAGTACGCCCACATCAAGCCTTTTCGGCGACAACGTAGGTCTACGCCCACCCGTTGTGAAAAATTGATTTCATATGGATCTCTTGAACCCGTACCGTAGACACCATCTCCCTACGAGAACTTGGAACAGACACGAGTCTTCGCCATCCGTTCCATTCCCAACCGCGAACGTATGGCAGCACTACTACTGCTGTAGTCTCGGAAGCGGCTGCATTTACCTAGACAACTGACAGGCGATACGTACTGCGTGGGAATAACACAAAGCTCGCCCTGCTAGAACAGCAGAGACAAACAAATAAAAAGAGAGGCATCCGTTCCTCCTTCCCTGGAGCCCAGTCGGGCAACACAACCCCCTCCATGGGCAGCAGCGGACGCTCACCACCTCTGGCGTTAAAAAGTCCATCAGAGTCATTCATCCCGCAACAGCAGGGGCTACATGCATGCGTCATTCAACCGAAACACAGCAGCAGGGGGGTTCATCCGCCTCGATTTGGAAAGGTGCCGCAGTACATCGTAGTTCAAAAGCAGCAAAATAGACCCAGCAAGTTGTCAACAGACACCACGACGTGTTCCTGTGAAGGCAAGATTTCTACAACACACGACGTAACAGAGGGTTTCTCCTCGAGAAGAAGACTACAGGGGAGTTATTTGTCTTGTGATATTTGATATTTGCACCTATGAAGTGTTTTTGTGGTTAGCACCTGCTGGCATCACCGACAAAAATTCAGTGCAATAAACCCCTAAAAACACCCCAGTGCAGCCGGTTTTTCTTCTCACTCACTGCTGCCAAGACTTCAACCTATACCCTTCGACTACTGTGGTACTACCTCGAACAGGTAAATATCTCCTTGACTGAAATATACTTTCTAAAACAGTCACCGACCGCGGGTGTGGAAACCTCACCAAACGGTACACAACGTCCGTCCGTTTCTTGCTATAACTAAATTACTTGCCCAAGCCGATCATGGCAAGGAACGAGTCCAACAGCCCGCCGCCCCCGCCGCCGGCGGCTGACTGACTCGGGGTTCCGAGTGAGATGAGCTTGGCGAAGGCCGCGGCAAAGTCCTTGAAGAACAACTCCTCGTCAGCGGTGTATTCCTCCACCACCTTGCGGAAGTCTGTTGTGAGAGGGCGGTACAGAGGAGAGCGAACGAAGGGAGACCTGGTCGTTGTCTCTACGTCATGGGCGGCTCCACCTTCGATAACGCTAAATCCCGGGTATTTGTTCGAAAACAACTCCACGGTAGTGAACTACGACGTGACTCGCCTGCACCAGCTGTACATGCATTGGTCAAGGCATTGAGGTGCGCACATAACGACGTATGACATGAGCGAAACAACCAGGACATAGATCGATCCGTTTGTCAAGGCATTGAGGTGTACGTAGCGACGCATGACGGACGTGAATCAAGAAAACATACGTAAACTTTGAAGATGGATGGATGGATCGATCGTACCTTTGTCCCAGACGAGAGCCATGTCGGAGTGGAGCATCATAAGCTGCCCGCTGGGGTCTTCGAACTGCTCCGGCCCGGTCCACCTGAACGATGCCATGCGATGCCATACGATAGCACGACAACATCAAACCAAGCATCAAAGCACCGTGGTGCATATTCTACCAACATGGAAACCGCCGCTGATAGAATGAGAACACCCTTATCGATAGCTAGAGATTGTTGGGTTACATGAAGAAATACAAAAAAAGCACATCCTGTGAGGTATAAACTATCACACACGTTCCTGCCCAGCGGCGCGGCAAGGAAGAGCATCGCTGGGGTATTCCCGCTCAGCACATGAGAGTCAAAAACAACCCCGTGTCTACGGAAACGGTTTCAGCTGCAGCATTCACAGGCCCAACTACTAATACTGTAGTCACCTAACCCCGCTGAGGTGTCCGCGGTAGTTCCTGTTATTGTTGTGGATCTGTTCACGCTTTCAATAGTGCTGACTTCTAATCAAATGCGTACGCGTCAACCTCTTCGTCCTCCTCAAGGCATAGGCACGGAAACGAACATCTGATGAGGTACAAAAACAGCAGACCCACAGAAAAATATCACCACTCAAGACGAAACCCATCGAGCAGCCGTCCTCCACAGCAACCAACCGCTGGTTACAGCAGGTACACATGAGAGACCTACGCATACATACCACGGTAGCTGAAGCTTCCAAATCTGTACTCACTTCTTTCCGTTGTGTGTGGTTTTGATGGTCCACTTTTCCTCCAACAGCAGACGGAAGTACTCGTTCGAGAACGTCGACTCCGCGTTCGTCCACGGACCCCAGTACCCTTAACCAATCAATTCATCCCATTGATCACAAATACGAGAGCGTGGGGCAGGGGGGGGCGTACTCTTTATGCTTTGCATTGCCTTAGCGGTTAGACCATTGACCACGCGTCCTCGAGAGGACGGAGTATTGTTCCCACAGGACCGATCACCGATGGCCAATCGTTCCTTACTGGGGGGGGAGTCACCACGTTGTGCACGACTGTCCGTCTAGGAAAATAAAGGGAAGGGGGCCCAAAGCCATTCAAGTGTGCGAGCAACATCCACGGAGCCCCAAAACCAACACGGAAGACGGACACATGTGCGAGAAACCGTCCATGGACCTACCTACAGCACTTGCTCGACAGGAGCGGTTGTCACAGCAGCAGCTGCAGCAGTTTTGACCCTGCACGTGTTCAAATCTCTTCAGTTCAGTTCAGTTTCCTCATCATGACACTCATTGGTCTCGCTGATGAATAGCTTAGCTTACCCGACGCTTCGGTGTGGCACCGCCCCACGGCGTGTGCGCCAATGAGAGCCACCATCTCGCGGTCGGTGAAGCCCATGCGGCCGAAGATGTCGCGGATGTGTTGGATCGTACCCCCGATGGTGCCCTTGTCGGCATCGGGGAGGCGGCCTGAGAGGCCCAGGACGGGGGGAGGCGCGGGTCAGACGGACCGCCTTCGCGGGAAATTCAGTATTATAAGGAAATAGAACAGGGAAGGGGGTACGCAGACCCTATTCCCTACCTTAACCCTATAACCCAACTTCCCCGATTGTATGCTTTAACCAACATGTTTCCTGAATACAAAAAGCCTTGCCAAGGCTACTGGGTCAGAAGACATAGGAATACAGCAGTGGGGTTCCCGAACATGGTGGTATGAACAAGGCGCTTGCCTGGTGAAAGGCGGCTGAAATCTCGGGGCGCAGACAAAATGATTCAAGTTGTTCTATGTAACGCTGCATACGTGTCTACGGCGATGCCAAAAATAGGTGCGTTGGAACCGTTTCATCGAGAGCGTTCTGGAAACATACGGTTTGATTTGATATTTGATACATGCTGCTGTAGATACCGTTCGTTGAGGAGCAATCGAGGTTACCGTAATAGTAATAGTCCGAGAGACGGCACCGGGTGCGGTCGTTTTTTTAAATGTTTGTTCCTCGGGTTTTTTATCGCACCCCGGTGCTATCTCTCCGAATAATACGGTAGCTTTAAAATCGGTGCAGGGAGTGTGATATCTCATGCCACGTCACCTGACCTAGAACCAGCATCTGCCTCATTTGTAGAAAAGCATGAACTTTTCGCTGTCAAGTTCTTGCAGGCTGAGAAGATGGCTCAAAAATTCGTGAGCGATGTTTGGTACAGAATACTACGAGCGATGGTCTATTTGCCCGTTAAAATACACACACACCCCCTTTCAGGCATTTCATCTTGCGTCACCCGCGGGAGGCTTGACACCCACGCCCCGAGAGAGGCCTTGTATCTTACCATATGCCTCCCTACGGTAGGTATTGTAGTGCAGTGGGTACCGAACCGTACCGTACCGTACACCGTACCGTACCGTAGAATAGTGTAGGACTCACCGTCAGGCACGGTTGTGGGCTTGTCCGAGTCGGTCCTTCCCGGGTACCAGGTAATCTCAGGACCCCCCATGTAGCTGATGGCCGTGGCGCCCGCCAGGGTCCAGATATCCGCGTACGAAGCTTCCGGGTACACTGCCTTCAGCCCTGGAAAAGAAAGAAACGAAACAGGAAGCCACTCTTGCGGGTGAATGAATGAGATCTGATTGATTGAAACAAAACTTGTCATCCATCAAGAAAATAACTTCTTGGTTTCGCACGAGGCTCCGTTGTTTGTGCTCGAACGTACTTGTGGGTCAATGCCATGCTCCAAACTGCTTAGCTACCGCCCCATTGAGCGACATGTTGAACGCGATACCTTAAGCGCGCAGCCGGTGCATGAGTTGAGTGAAAGTACTCCCTCGCCTGTTGTGTTCTTACAGGCAAAAACTTCATGAAGAAGATAATGTAGAGGAGGAAGGTAGACCCGGCAAAAGTTTGAGGACGATTGCTCGTCGCGGAGGTAGAAGCGGCGAGCAATCGTCCTCGAACTTTGCCGGGTCTACCTTCCTCGTGTGTATAATCTTCTTTATGGAGTTTTCGCCTGAAACCGACACAACTGGACGAGGGAGTCATTTCACTCCGTTCATGCACCAGCTGCGCGCTAAAGGTATCGCTTTCAACATGTCGCTCAAGGGGGCGATAGCTGAGTAGTTCGGGGGCATGCACTGACCCACAAGTGAATTCCAGCACAAATTGTACAGCCGAAACAATGGAGACGAAAGGATCCGACGTTACGTACCTCGCGATCCTACAACCGGTGCAGCAGGTGGACAGCAAGCACAAGAAGTTGCATGTGGAGTCGTTTTACGGCGCTGACAAACTACTACAGTCTACTGTAGATGGATATCATACGAAAACTTTGACCCAAGAACCAGTCCAATACACGTCATTGGTAGTCAAACCCCCTAATCGGCACGCCCCGGAAGCATCTTAGCAACAACAACAATCGCAGCAGCAGCAGCAGCAGTGGCGGCATTCAAAGCATTCACAACGAGACGAGCAAGGGGGCAGGGGGTATTCGCGCTTCGTTTCCAACAGCGTAAATCGACTCCAACCCGGTAAACGCGAAATGCGAAAAAAAAAAACAGCCCACCGGCGTCGACTTGGCAACATTAGCGAGCAACAGCGGCGAGAAATGGCACAACAGCGACTAATTACTACACAAAGATTTACTACAGGGTTTTTGAATGAGCACAAGTGCTCTTACGCTCAATTTCTCAAACTTGTCTCTTTCTGAGCCTGAATTCCTTAACTCCCTCCCAGGTTGATAATTCTTAAAAGTGGCCGCGCGTGCTGCACGAGAGGTCGACAACAGTCGCATTTCCCCCCGAAAATCCAGAAAACATGAAAGGATGGACGGCGCTTCCAATGATAATGTCTTGGTTGGGGAAGGATGCTGTCGACCACGAATGGGACCCCCCCGCCCGCGTTGGGAGTCGGCACGGAATGGAAGTACTGCTGTACCATACGATAAATAGGACACAGAGGTGAGCGCACGTTCCGATGCCAGGACAACCGGCACAACCACCGAAATCCCATCAAGGCAAATAACGACGACAACAGCGAGCAACATCTCAGCACAACAATCACGTGCACGTCATTGCAAGCACCAACGGCCCGAATTCGCCTGCAGGGTCAAGAATCAGAGAACCGGCACACACACACACCCACGACGAAATCCCTGGCGACATCGAGCCCCGCGTTGGCTCCCCAGTCCTTCTCCGGCGACATGCGCATGCAAGCGCCGTTCGATCCACCCGTTCCGTCCGCCTTGAGCACGAAAAACGTTAGGGCGCGGAAGAAACGGACATACATGCAAGGTAGACAAACTTCAACAAACAAGAGAATGGGGGGGGGGGGGGGGAGCTTCTTTTCCCATGGGATTATGGGGTCATGTGCCACACCCTCGAACAGCCTCAGCCTCCTCACTACCATCTTCATCCTCATACAGTATTTCTTAAAACATTGCGGTACTAATTATGACACCTTTGGAGAAAGCGTCATGGCGTGTCAGCACATGGGGCGTCAGAGAACGGTTCAACGGGCCAATCCACCCCCCCCTCCCCCGCGCGAGTCAACATCACCGGTAGGTGCATACATGTATGTATACCTTGGAGTAGGTGCCCGAGGCGTGCCAGGCGAGCCTGACCAGGGTGCCCGCGATAGAGGTTCCGTCCTCTCGGGAAGCATCCTCCGCCTCCATCATGGCCTCAAGGTCCTAGGATTACGACCATCACAAGATACCACACGCGGTGTGCCGTGAGGGGAAAAGAGAGAAGTACAATTCATGGCCACCGAGGTTGTGGTAACGAACGGCATGAGAGAATGAATACCGAAGTCCCCTTTTTCCCGTTAAGGCGAGGGGGCCCACAGGAGATAATCCGGGACCGCATAGCCCCAAATTACGAACCAATGGAGGTTGGGGATGACACAGAAGATACGGTTGCCACCCCCAGATAGGGGGGAGGATACAGACTATCATCCCCGATGAGGCCCCTACAAGTACACCAGTTTCCTACACAAAATCAAACTGGATTAAGAGCAGGAACAACACGGCGGATAGGGGGGGGGGGGATAGCTCTGCGGTTCTGGAGTTTCTCCCATGTGCCCCCCTTGTGGAAGGGCCAAGGAAGGGAACCAGGACATCCTCTGCCTTGAGTACACCCTCTATAGCGTCGTAGATAGTCGATACTCCTTCTCTGGAGCAAGCAAGGTCACTCTCTCGACATTAAGTACCAAGTCTACCATAGAACACGGGCTCGGGTGTTGCACAAAGCTTGAGGAAGACACACACAAGCAACTATTTACCATACCTTCTTGATGGCTGCGTAGTCGACGGGAGGAGCGGCAGCCTGGACTTGCGAGTCTTCCGAGGAATAAACCACCGCGGCTACGGCAGCGGCGGCAGCGGCGGCGGCAGCGGCGGCGGAGGCAACCTTAGAATCGGCCTGCGGGTGTACGCAAGGACAGCAGAGACAGCAGCAGCAGCAGCAGGGCCGAGAGATGGTTCGAAAAAGCAAAAACAAAAAGCACCATTGATGCAGGCAGGACAAGGGGGGCTGTTATAAAAATAGAGGGCAGGGGGCACATCATCGCCGACAGCGTAAGAAACAGCCGCGTCTCGAAGGTTGCGGGCGAAAAGAAAAAAAAGGTCCGCTCCGAAAAAGGAAAAAGGCTCACAATCACAATCACAATCACAATCACAAAATAATGCGTAGTAAGGCTAGGGCCATTGCACTTGACATCGATCAACGTCGGTTCTGAGACGAGTGCGGTGTGTGATGGCTGCGCCAAAATGGGGCGATCCGCGCTTTTACTTGCTTCTACCACATGCATTCAGCAGCAGGTGATCGAAACCATACAGACGCCTGTTGTCAAAACGTATGCTGTGCGTTTGTTATCCTCTTTACAGCATCGCTCCATGCTGCGAGATGCTGAGCAATTTTAAGGTAAAACGACACAACAGGGTATACCCTGGTCGAAAAGCGACACACCTGGGTACACAGTCATTAACAGCAGTAAATGCACTCATACCATTAGTCAGCGCCCAATTTCACCCCGGTTCGTCCGAAAAGGCGCAGGGTATATACCCTGCCGTGACTACTTTTCTCAACAACTGTACCCTGTTTTCGGATATGTACCCTGACCTGACGGGAAATGAGACCCTTTCATCAATCATTTCCCCCGCAGGAATCTTCCCAACTGCTTTTCCCCTCCAACCATGGGATACCAAACGGCGAATCTTCGCGCCGAATAACAACCATGGCAACGGGGCAGGAATCAGTTTCCGTCCCTGCGAAACAACACCAACCATCACCTCTTCCGCTCTAAATCAACAATGGCCGGGCAATACCCCAGCACAATTGTTCCGTTTGGAAACATGGACACAATACCCCGTGGACTACTGCTTGCTGCAGTCTATATGCGAGACGCACGGGTCACGCTATGAAAGCGAGACCGATCCAGCATGGTTGACATGCATATATATGCATGTGTGCGTGCGTGTGTTGCCTGTTGTGTCTCGATTGCGATGTGTTTCTTGTTTGAACCACTGCTGTAGCAGCAGCGGTCACGCTTACCAGCCAACGAAGCCGACCAATCAATCGATGTAGTAAGAAGACGTCAGGCTGCAGCGGGATGACCCGATGAAATACAACGCGAGCGCTCTTTCTTCTCTCTACCGACAGGGAGGGTGATTGAGTTGGACGACACAGCAGTGTCCTGCTGCTAGAGTAACGATAAGACTCGTGTGTGCGTGATTGATGCCAAGGGTGTGTCTGTGTGTGCTGGTCTTGCCTCTCCCCTTCACCCTATCTGCGGGCGCGAGCTCGCCGCCAGCACAGAGCCACACATTGGCACATACATGCATATATGCATGTCAACCATGCTGGATCGGTCTCACTTTCACAGCACGACCCGTGCATCTCGCATATAGACTGCAGCAAGCAGTAGTCCACGGGGTATTGTACGCGTGTGTCCATGTTTCCAAACGGAACAATTGTGCTGGGGTATTGCCCGGCCATTGTTGATTTAGAGCGGAAGAGGTGATGGTTGGTGTTGTTTCGCAGGGACGGAAACTGATTCCTGCCCCGTTGCCATGGTTGTTACTCGGCGCGAAGATTCGCCGTTTGGTATCCCATGGTTGGAGGGGAAAAGCAGCTGGGAAGATTCCTGCGGGGGAAATGATTGATGAAAGGGTCTCATTTCCCGTCAGGTCAGGGTACATATCCGAAAACAGGGTACAGTTGTTGAGAAAAGTAGTCACGGCAGGGTATATACCCTGCGCCTTTTCGGACGAACCGGGGTGAAATTGGGCGCTGACAAATGGTATGAGTGCATTTACTGCTGTTAATGACTGTGTACCCAGGTGTGTCGCTTTTCGACCAGGGTATACCCTGTTGTGTCGTTTTCCCTAATTTTAACTTTTCTACAATGGCGCGTCCAAAACAAAAGGCGCCAACTCGAGAAAAAATCTCCTTCTTCCACACGAGGCTCGTTCCTTTACCAGTATTATTCCTTAAGTATCTCCAAATCCCTACAGCGACACATTTGAGGTATGTAGCACGGAGTGCAACAGACCGGAACCCTCCAGATCCGTGGTGGAAAAAAACAAAGCAATCTACCGCCGAAAATTGGGCGGAAGGGATACGGCTGCAGCATCTTGAAGCCATATTGTAGGTCGTGCGCGGGATATTACGCAGAGGGGTTACTGCTGCTACCCTTGTTACGTACTATCAGGTGTTCTAAACGACTCCAAGGAAGTTAAGGTCAAAAGTGACAGCGAGAGACCTTCTTGGCTTCTTGGGGTGTACAGGTAGGACGCATACCATCACTTCGAAGCATATCGGATTTGACGACCAAAACTAGACTAAAGATTCAAGCGGGAGGAAGGGAGGTTTGGTGTGTGTGACATTACATCAACCACTCGACCACTGCTCGCATGTACGAAGGGAGGATAGGCATGATCTAGATGTGAGATATGCGAAGAGGCGAGAGAGAGAGAGAGAGAGAGAGAGAGAGAGAGAGAGAGAGAGAGAGAGAGCGGTGACACATGCATGCATAGCAACCGAGCAACCAGACATCACATGCTCGCAGGAACATCCGAACGACCTGCTCTATCTCGGTCGATCCCTGGGGCTCTGACTCGGGCGGTACATAGCCGTCGCACCACGCCCACGAGCAAAGCCCAAGGATAAAGGCGTTCTTATCTGCGTACGGTTACCTTGAACAACGTTGTTATGCGCTGCTCGAGAATCCGAGACTTCGTCTGTGCTTGTACTTACGAGTACTGCTTGGGGCACACGAGACAATCAACGAACGCTCGCTGCCTTTGGGGGAAGCGAGGATTGAGAGATGCTTTTTGGGCAACGAGAGAGCGATCCTACCTGCTGTGGTGACTTACTACCTGCTCAGATGACGGGTTAGCGCGTACGCAGAGAGAACAGTGGACAGAGAACGAGTTCGACGGCAGGGGGATCGTTGCAGCGCAGATCTCTCCACTCATTGGTGTGCGCAGCTGCCGCTACTTTCAGTGACATGCACGCAGCAGAGTGTAGGAGAAAATCGCTGCGACAGGTGTGCTTTCCCAACTATTCCCAACTGCGCTTGTCTCACCTTGTGAGGGGAGATCGAGGCCGTGCTCAGCGCCGCGACGCGAGCAGCCGGGCGGGACGAGACGGCCGCGGCCGACCGTGCGATGAGGGCCCTACGAGTGGCGTTCATTGCGGAGTTCATCTCGTCTTCTCTATTCTTTCCAACGATATGCTGCTCCTGTGCGTCTGCTCTGCTGCTCGCACATGGGCATGGGGCTGGGCTTGGGGGGACTGCAACAGGAATATTCACCCCCCTTATAAAACCATCCTTTGTGCACTCTGCGTGGACGCTGCACGAGCACCTGCTGCCTGGCCTTCCTGCCTCATGACATTGCTGATTGCCTCTCTCTCTCTCTGTTTTCTTTGCCACGATGTCTGAAGAGAAAGACACCACCGCCCCGCCTACTGCTGCCGACGCTGCTTCCTCCACCGGCGAGGCTGCCGCCGCCGATTCCTCGGTGGACCTGGCCAAGCAGAATGAGCAAACGGTGGAGCAGCAAAATGCTATCAACGCTACAATAAAGGCAACACAGGTACAGCAGTACATGGGTTTGTTTTGTGTGTCTTTCTGCTCCCTTGTCTCTCTGTTGCCGCTGAAAACGGCTAGGCGTTCGTCATGTTGTTTCCTACACGTTTGCTGTTGGTTTTCAGCTGTGTTGTGCCCCTTGTCTGGATGGCCGTGGTCCACTTTGCTCGGTTCGCTGTTCGCTGCGAATGCGCTATTTCGCTATTTCTCCCCGCACTCACACGAATCTGCACATAGATGCTCATACGAAGCATATCTGCTCTTCCACTTCTTTCTCGACGCGTGGCCAACCGTATATCGTAACTGCTCTGTACTGCTGTACCCAGCAGGTGCACCTGTGTGCATGCCCGTGTGTTTGGCATGTTTGCACCATCGCCTACTGCAGTAAACCAGACCTGCCTTGAGTGTCCACCGAAAACGGGGAGCCGTTTTTCCGCCCAAATGGTCTATCTATTCAGTCTACTGCACACTCCTGTACAGCGGATTTGTCCTCTTCCGCTGCATGCCCACAGCCCACCGTACGTATTCCCGAACTATATGGTGTCATCACCACAGCGCTTGTAGGGCTGTTCAGCGGGTGTAAGTTGCTCGTGCCCATTCCATTGCTTTTCTGTGTCGAAACAGCAGTATTTCGGGGTATTATCTCGCTCGGATTGTCTACCGGTGACCGTCTTGTGGAAGGTACTTCGTGCGGTTCGGTGGCACGGCGACACGGCAGTAAAGGCCATTCAAAGGCCACTGACTGCCCTAAAGCTACGGACCGAAAACAGAACCCAAAATCACGAACATGATACTGCTGTAGATACAATGATACCATGTACACAGGTTGCATAACGTAAGATGAGATGCCGCACCCCCGGGACCGATTTTCAGAGAGTGCTCGATTGCCCTGCAGCCAAAACGATGGTGAGCGATGGCATTGATATATATATATATATATTCTTAGTATGACACAACGAATCCATCTCTATCATATCTGTCTCAGACTCTTTTCTATGATAGAGATGGATTCGTTGTGTCATATTAAGAAAAAAAAAAAAAGAGTCTGAGACAGATTAGCAATAAATTCATAGCGTCAGAAAGTACCTGTGTCTATTTATATTTTTGTTTTTCTCACGACAACTCTTGCGGCTTGCGGGTGGGCACGTGGTCGTTATTTCCGTCTTCACGTTGTCTCTGCGCAGGACCCTTGTAACATCCGCACAGGTCCAACTGACGCGAACGCTTCCATGGATGGTAGCAGGCTAACTACCCGAAGAGATTGCACATCGTGGTGGTGGAATTGTGTCACATTCTGCGTCTTGTTTTTGGCATCACAATTACCATCTTGCGGAGCACCGGCCCTGACTCTTGAATCGCGACCGGCTCGTGTGGACTGTTTTTGTCTTTCTAAAACGCCCGCCCCCCCCCCGGGAGCCTGGTCCGGTGAGAACCCGGCGTGCTCCGTCCCGGCTTTGTAGGGATGGGGGGTCAATGGTCAAAGGACTAGGGCATGCCCGACTATGAATACCCCCCCCCCCCCCCCCCCGCGCGTGACCCTGCTCGTTGTCTACGCGTAGCCCAAGGTAGGAGCAAAAGAAGAGGTGGATGCCCTGCTGCCGGAGTACGAGGGGAACCCAAAGCCGGGATTCCGCAAGGGGGTACAAGACTTGGGCAAGGTGTGGTTGTGGTGTGGAATAAGGGGTGCATGGCGCGGTCGATGCTTATTTATTGAAGCCCACACCGCCGCGGAGGTGTGGTGTTTTTTTCCCCTCGTACCCGTAGTTAGCAGCAGGTTGTGAGTTGGAGTTATCTCTCTGGAATGGAAGGAAGTACAGTTTGTCGTGGAAAGCGATGACGTCGTGAGTATATATCCCGATGGACGATCGACAAGGGAGAGGGAGGGCTGAAGCCTTCTCGCGATAGGCGCTGAGGCAAGCAGCGCAGGAGGGAAGATGGGGTACTGTATAAAGCTGATAGAGCAAGAAAGGCTCCATGTGTGACCTTTAGGACCCCGGTTGATCCGTCAAGCACAATGCCTCCAAGAGTTGTGTCGGCCTGCTCCAGACAAAACACACACGCACCTAGACACCTCAACCCGAGGTTCTTCCTTGCTCTGACACCAACTGCTGCTCTTATTTCCTTCGTTCATCCGTATCTCCACCTACCACGGAACGGTATCCGACAACAACAACACCAACACCGATGGCCTTGCCACGCGACGCCAGCGCTACTCTGCGCTTCGACGTGTGCGGGGCGATGGTAACTGTTTCTACCGCTCCTTCCTGTTCGGGTACCTTGAGCGGCTACTGCAGGGCATCAAGAGCGTCGGCGACGCCAATACGAAGGCTATGTTGGAGCTCAGCAGGCTTAGACAAGTGGTACACGACAGGTGCGGGCAGAAGACGGCAATGTTTTTCGTGGGACCCGTGGGACCCACTGCTGTTGTCGTTACTGCTGTTGTTCCCGCTTCTGCTGCTGCTGATGCTGCGGCTGCTGGTGATGATTATGGCTGTTGTTGTCATTTCGTTTGTTGGTTACGTTGACCTTCTCCGTGCATCCTGGACTCCACTCCCATGAAATACCTATCTGCAGGCTTGACATCTTACAGCAGTGCACTCGGTGCTCGCTGCAGCAGTCTCTTGTGTTTTGTACTTCTAGCATGTGTAGTAAGCTTTCATCATTGATACTCCGTCCGAATTAATGTCTGGACAACATGTACGTCGAAGAGAACTCTGTTGAGCAAAGGTCTTATCAAAGAGCGCCGACCGAGAAACGACATAGTACCAGCAACTTAGCACTGTTCTCCCTGATTTGCTATGTCGACCGCCAGTCCCCTCTTGTTTGGTTATCTTTGGTTCCGTTTGCTTCTAGACTATTGTATGATATCGGTGTTGTTTGGCCTTTACCTCTCTTGTTTGGTTATCTTTGGTTCCGTCTGTTTGTGGTGTTCTGATGCAATTCTTCTGTGTATGATGTTGTGGCCTTTTCCAGCAAGGCGGCGTTGATAGCCCTGGGTTACGAAGAGGTGGCTCTGGACGACTTCTGGCAGACGTTCCTGCAGGAGCTAGACGCTCTGCCTAACATGGAGATGGGCCAGCTTGAGGTGCGTTAGTCAGTCAGTCAGTCAGCTATCAGCTTCACTCTCGTGGCACTTTCTTGTTCTTTTCGGGTCTTGACTTGTGATGAGGTATTGGATTAAATAGTGAGTCGGGGTTTCTACTCATTTCCTTCTGGTTTACCTATTTCCTGTTATACATGGTGGTTGCTTCATATGAGACGACGAATCGAGGTTGTTGCAGAAAAGGCACGAGCCCGACTATAGTAACAGGTTCCTTGTTTTTGGCGCGAGGTTTTGCACGAGATTGGCGGCTTTTTTCCTATGGGAGGCAACCAACAACGACACTGGTTCGTAGTTCGGCTTTCGGCGAGAGTTTCTTTGCCGTGCATAACATTTTCTTGGTCAAGTCATCGACGTTGTAATTTCTTGAACTATTTGAGACCCACGTCCTTGACTGCGCAAAGTGTCCTTACTCCCCTAGAATAAGTGCACAAGGTTTGCTGTCGTTGGAACATGAGCATCGAGATTTTTAGCCTTCCTGCACACCCCTGTCCACCAAAGTTGTTCTTCTCTCCCTCCCCCTCTCTACCTTTCCTCTCAACGTGACGCTATGTATCTATTCATCTATCCCTGTGTTTGTTTTTGTTATGTTATGTTATGCTATGTTTAATAGATCAACTTCCGAGAGGAGGCAGGGCCGTGCGAGTACATCGTTTGGTATTGCAGGATGCTCACCAGTGGGTTTCTCAAGCTCAACGCTGACAGGTCAGGGCCAAACGTTGCTGCGGATAGGGTTGCTGTGGAAACTACAGCTATCATGGTCGAGGTTCAAGGGTTTTCGGTGTTGTACTGTACAGTAGCGCAAGATTGGCCAGGGTCTCAAAGATTGGGACGGGTTCGGGTCATCTTGAAGCTCAATACCAAAAGCTTGCGCTCGCGGATACGATTACAACAGGCCGGTTATGGGTAGTGTAGGGTGCTAAGCGCTAAGGTTAGAAGCTTGGCTCAACACCTATTGTAGGGGTTAGGAGTGGGTCCTGGGTTTAGGCTTCGGATGTCCTGTCGGGGTTGATCGAGCTCGACAACGACGACGGGTTGATGGCGGTGATGCTGGTTGTTTGCTGTTGTTGGGGTGAACGTTTTTGCTGCCTTTTTGTCCTGTGGTGTTGAGTTGTATCAAGCTGTGGTTGAGTGAAGATGAAGCAAAGGACGGTAGTGGTGGTGATGCTGGTCTTGAGGTGGCGGAGCTTTCTGTTAAAGACCCGGTCCGTGTCGCGACTCTCTCCTGTACTGTAGAAGTATTTCGCACTAATATAGTTTGCTTGTCGCTGGTTTTATGCATCGCCATACTGTATGCTCCTTTGTGACCGTTCGCCACTTTTTGGGTTTTTCTTGCCAACAGATTCCTGCCATTTCTGGAACATACGGTGGACATGCAGGACTTTTGCCAGCGAGAGGTTGAACCTATGGGGAAGGAGTGCGAGCAGGTATGTACGTGTTGGTGTGTTAGTGTAGCGTAATGTACAGCAGTGGATGTCGTGGCAGTTGGAGCTTGAAATTCAGCCCGTGAGCCCATCCCCACAGGCCTCACAGGAGTACAGTAGTGTACAGATACGTAATAGGTTCCTCTCCTTGGGCGTTTCCTTCCTCCCTTCTCTCCATCATGCCGCAAGAAATCGTATCTTTGCTCCAAATGAGGAGTGGTCGACATACTGTAACCCGCACCTAAGAGCACAACACCTTGATGTGGTACGCACACGCGCGAAGAGTCCTGCGCGACCCTCGTGCCTAGTGAGCGGGTGGGGGGGCGGTACTGATAGTCGTGCATGCCGTAGTCGTTAGACCGTTGACCACGTGGGGGGGGGGGACGCGGAATATAATCGCCGTAACGGTTTTCGCCCCGACTTACTGACGCAGGCGTATTTTTCATTGGCGAACTCGGTCGTCGTGATCTACAGAAGGCACGCGCTCTCCCTCTCTCACACCCCGTTTGCTTGCAACGTGATTGATATGTGATTGTATCCTTGCTCTCTCTCCCTCTCTCTCTCTCTCTCTCTCTCTCTCTCTCTCTCTCTCTCTCTCTCTCTCTTCCGTGTGTCTGCACGCCGTGTGTGTGTGTAGATCCAGATCATGGGTCTCTGCGAGCACCTCAACACACCTGTGAAGATCGAGTATCTAGACGGGCAAGATTTCTCTGGGCAACTGGGGAGCATCACCCTCCCCGACACTGGGGCGGAAGCGATGGTCACGCTGCTTTACAGGTGCTACATGATCGTCGCGCTTCAGGCCACTGATTTGCTGAGACAACACCAACAATATGTACATATAAGATTTGGTCACTTTTCATGCTTCGGCGTTTCTTTCTCTCGCGGCAGCGAGTCTTTTATCGCGGTTCCTTCTCAGGGGCACGCAGGAGGCTCGTCGGTACATTAACGCACGTGCCCGGAGCTCGGTAGGCCTCCGTGGCGCGTGTGGTTGACGGCCAAAGTTGCGAAAACTGGCTCAAAACCCCGGGGACGCGTTCCGCGCTGACAAAAGCCTGGCGAACCAATTCTGAAACCTATCAAACCCATCAAATGCGACGGTTTGAAATATTTGTCTCTTTTGCTTCTCCACTATCATTCGTTCATTCATTAATTTTAATTCGATGATTCATGGCTGTGACTCTTCGTGCCATCGCATTGTCCAACAGCAGTGCCTACGTTAACTACACTTCGCAGCGGGCCAAGTGTAGACAAGTCTGAGAGCATGCATCCAGCCGCAGTGTTGAACATGTTCCATTCGTGGTGTTGTTTCGGCTTCAATTTCGGTTCTCATCGGAAATCTGCCATCATCAATCAAATACGTCATGGAAGTCTGAGTTTTCGCTGCCAGAATATTGTCCGCTCGAGCTGGCTCCAATGTAGAATAACAACGTGCGCGATGTTTTGTGCGGAAATACAAGCGTTGTAAGACACACAGTCCCTCTTCGGGCAATGCGAATGAATGTGGTCTTGCGTCACCTGAGGGAGGGTAGACACCCACGTCCCGAAGGGAGACCTTGTAACATATAGCCTTTTGTGCTACGTAAACGTCGTTCTTCCGGCCACTGATTTATTAAGGCAACAGCAACAACAACAACAATAACAACAACAACAAGAACGTATGCATACCTCGTGTTTGAAAATTGAGACCGTTCGGATACAAATGTGAAAATCCCAACGGTCCTATGCTATATTTCCAAACAGAAGTGGTAGAAGGTAGCTTGATGACTGCCCCCCATCATGGCCTTTTTCGAGGTTGGGTCTTATAGTCATTTTGATGACTTCGATGGAGGGCACCCCCGCTACATGTACATATCATCGTCTCTTCCGAGAAGAAGGGGCGCGCCGTTAGCAGCAGTTCCTGCGACAGCTACGGTTTATGAAAGATTGTTCAAGAGAAAAGGAAGGGAGTGTTCTGGCTTGTCTACTGCTGTAAAGGGGCAACTCCGGCGTTTGGCCGCTCTCTAGTCTGCTTGCAATCTTCAACGCCGCGCTGCGAATCTCTTGCTGTTTGCCCGCCGCCTCTAAGCCGCGCCCTAAGGAACATCCTTCGTGTGAGACATTATTTTAATGAGGAAATAGAAAACGGAGGGGGTACGCAGACCCTATTCCCTAACCCTAACCCTAACCCAACT